CAAAGGACATATAGACTAAGCTGTGTGTCAGTCTAATCCATCCAGTGAGTGGGGTGTCTAAAGTGTTATTGTTTTTTCAGTAAAGGCATAGCTTTGTATTGTATCAAATTGTCTGTCTTGGAGTCCAGAAGTCACTGTGAGAGCTACATTCATTGAGGGTGATTAGAGACGTGGTGTGAGGATCCATTATCAGAGTTCACAAGATGCCCGTACATATCAATGCCACTACTGGATTTTGACATTTTCTAATGTCTTATATTTCAAATTTCTGAAGTGAAACGCATTGCTGATTAAGTGTTTTATTGCAAGTAGCACTATTACTTTACACTGAATCATTCAGGCACTCATATAATGCAGCCACCCATAGAATGAGAACACCTATGGAGCACTCAAGGTTTGCTATGAGCTATCTAGCAGCTGCCTACATCTCTCACACACACCTCATTCCTACAAAGAAAACTCCAGACAGAACAAAGTTCAGATATTTTATTAGGAAACTGTCTCTATGTTATCCAGTCAGCAAAAACATAGGCAGTCAGCTCTGGCTGGACAGGAAAACCCCCCAGTAGACATCCTGTTTCAGCCACCCACAGACAGGGGCCCAGATAGTGTGCAGCACAGGGCAAATTCTCAGTAGAACATCATTTATAACCATGTGTCAGATGACAGCTTCTAGAGTTCTGCCGATTGCTTTTCAAACCATTACTTTAATTGGTTTTCTTAGAATGATTCAATTCATAATTGTCTTAATATTTTTGGTGGAAAGTGAACAAGTATCACTTTTTGTTGGGAACGGCTTCAAGTAATATATTTGTCTTTTTGATTAATGATGGTTGATTATTACTTGGCAAGCGTAGCTCCTACATAGGTTACTATAGCGCAGCTGTGATGACAGTCTTATCATAAGTGTGTCTTTCATAAAACACATTGGCATGCAATGGAAATGTTACAAGTCCAGTTTGTTCAATGAATATTTAATCAATAACCAAACAACTATATTTGGACACTTGAGCAACATGATTTCTTTAAGGTACCATTCTAGTGATCCTTGTTCAATCTAAATAGTAAGGTCTGCCATGAATTAAGCAAAGTTAACATTGCTATTAATGTGAGCATTTCTTGCTGAAAACACATGCAGCCCCAAAACTAAGAATTGGTAGATGTGGACCTTACCCCATATATAAGAATAAAGATCTTAGAGTATATGGCCAGACTCAGTAACCATATGCAAAAATAAGTCAATATTTTTTAAACATTGATTATAAGAGCACTGTAAAAACACATTATCTAACATTCAGCTAGATGGCTGGTCGAAGATAAGTTGATTTGTAGTTAAATGTCTATGCAGAAAAAAAACAGATTGGCAAGGAAATATTGCCAATATCTTTATCAATGAGATAGCAGAAATATTGTAGTATTTTCTGACTGAATCAATACTGACAACTTTGAAAATGTTAAAAAAATAAAAATAGGAAGAACAGATCAGACTTTCTGCTTATCTGTGAAAAAATATGGCTTTTGTGTTATGAGAAGTACTGCTAGTTACTGCAAACTAGGGATGCACCGATACCAGTTTTTCGGTATCGAGTACGAGTATCAATATTTTTTTCCGGTACTCGACAATGCGTGTGCCCTGATTATCAGGAGGTCAGACCGCGGATCATAACACGTCGCCCGGCTTCCCGATTGCCTGGGAATCCGGTGTTCTTTCGATAGCCGGTGTTCACTTGCCGAGGCTGCCTGGTTTCCTTACGTGCCGCCTGGCTTCCAGATTGGAAAGGAAGCTGGCTCCATGCTCCCTCAGCACTATCGGTCAGAGGGAGATCTCCCTCTGATCGGAAGTTCCGGTATCGGAAGTAAGTATCAGAGCATTTGGGAGTGTACGAGTACTCACCCAAATACTCGCTATCGGCGCCAATACCCATACTAGTATCAGTATCGGTGCATCCCTTCTGCAAACCCAAGCAAGCAAGCTTGCCCACGAAAGAGTATATATTTATAAAATTTAGAGGATTAAGTAAATTGCACCTGTGCCCAGAATATGGACCATAAATATTTACATATTCTTAACAAGCAGTAAAAGTGTTTAAAAATAAGCTAACCCTCACTTCTCTAGCTGGTTGATCTCTGAAGTAATTAATTCTCAAAGATCCCAAAAGATCACAACTAAAGGCTCAATTCATTGCCTCTGTTGTAAATTTTGAAGATGAATTTGTCCTAAATGCCTATAACTGCAGGAGCACACGTTGGCTTGTTTTAGAGTACTTTTACTGCATGTACAGAATATGTAAATACTTTTGTGTGCAGCGTCTGGGCACAGGTTCACTTTAACATATTATACCAGCATAAATAAATTTAGATCCTTCATCAACCACCCTTGGGACACATTCATAAATGAGTATGTAAGAATCTCAATGCATATATGTCTTTGGATTCGATTAGTAGAGAACTTTAGACATGTTTACCTAGGTATAGACTCTGCAAGAAGAGCTTGAGATTGTGGATTGGCTTGGGTTTCCTCTCTAGAATCAGAAAGTAAGCAAATTGTTTTGTTTTAATTCAGGGGAAAATGAATTCTTCCCATGAATCTGTTTCAGATGCTCTTTACGGCACTGTGTCTGCACACTATATGGGAAAACATTATATGAACACCACCAGAGTAGGCTTAGAGACTTTCACAGACTTGTGATCATGGCATATTCACAGCCTGCACCTGCAGTGACATGGCTAATATTAGCTGCAAAGTAAAAAAACATCTCATTACAATTCAAGCATAATCAATACAAATCCAATAATATTAGCAGGACCAAACAGGAATGATATCTTTAAAACCACTGTCAAGACTGAGGTTATTTTGCACTAAATGAATATATAACATTGGTAAGTAGGGCATAGCACCATTTCAAACAATTGAATATAAACAATACAATAAACAGTATTTTATTAAAAAAGGCACTGAATGATGAAATGAAACATTGAAAGACCCCTCCCATCCCACGCAAAAATAAAATAACATAGGCATCATACAATGGTATTATCTAAACAAATTACATGAGACATACATCCACTAAAACCTTTTGTGCCTAATATTTGAGAATGCATTGTATAACATTCTTCATTCTATCATGGTGCAAAATATAATAGTGTTCACATAAAGTTGGTCAAGTAGGCTCCAAATGTCTTATACAATTTGGGATTTTTAGTTTTCATACAGTTGATTGTCATAAAAGCCCTGGGGTTTTTTTTGTAAATGTTTGCATGAGAAAAGACCGTGTGCCACATTATGTAATTCAAAAAGAGACTTTATAGATTAGGCCAGGTACCATAGAAAACAACAATGTACAATAACTTTGTAAAAACTGGTCAACCTCCATAAACAACTGTCAAAAAACAGATACATGAAATTAGTGATTGTACCAGCAGATGTGATTCAGATTCATATAATAAATTACTCAATGCTTAGTATAATTTGAAATTTGTCTCGCTTTTGCAACAAAAAAGTTGAGAGCCTCTACATTTGTCCCCTAGCTACTGGTGGTTAGCAGTGTCCTATATGGAACTCTCACTAACCAGCTGGTGTGCTAGTCCTGCTGTCCAACTGCAAGGCTACCAATCGTCAGCAAAGCTTTTTGTTTCTGGGGGAAGCCCTATTTGTTACTTAGCTGCACTGTTAAAACAACTGATTAGTTGGGATTTCCAGTAGGATGTCCCTGCCTATCAGCAGCATGAAGTTAAGTGTGAGTGATTTTCATTTTGCATACATATTCCTGTAATTACTACTCCAACATAAAATAGTCTAGCCATATTGATTGTGCATACATTTAGATTCTTAAAAAATCCAAATTCAGTAGAGCTAAAAATGTTTTGATGATTTGTGATGTGAACTGCTCAAGCCAGTTGAGTCAGCCAGCAGGTTAAAATAATAATTTGAATAACTAAAGTGTATGTGACCTTATTACTTCAGAAGTAAATTTCTGCCCAAATTTTAATCTACAATCATCTGGGCTTACCTTTCAATCATTCTCAAAGTCTTTGAAGTTTACAAAATGAATGCAGTTTGATAGCACTTTGTTGAATAATATTAAAATAGTTTAGCAAAACCTGACTGACTTATTCCATGACTAAATTCAATCACTATATAATGAATGTATTTTGGGCCCATAGGAAAACATGGAAACTTGCACCATGCATGTATCACATATATTTGTCTGCTCTCAGTATAATCCCAACACCAGAAACGAAAAAGCTTGTTAAAGGGAAGGTAAATCACAGAAGGAAAAATGCAAGAAAACGCATGATAAAAGCTCTTTAAAATGTACAAAATAGGTGAATTACAAATGCCAGAGTGCAGTGATGTGAACCACTTCCATTGAATTGAATTCCATATCATGACAAGGTTTGTTCCATTGTTAGAATATGACACAAGTGTGAATGAGGCCAAAATAATATTTTTTTCTAAACAGGTTTTCCAAATTAGGATCCCTTTCACCAGTTTGTACACACAATACTGATTATTTTGTTATGCACCAACAAACAATGAATATTGATGCTAATTAAAGCTTGTAATCCTTGAACTGTTTAAATGTTATGATTTCAGGTCAATATTTCTTTTGTTAGCAAGTAGTTTGCTAACATGGGTCCTGCAGACCAATTAACAGGACTGTGTTAATTTAGGGTCTACTATTTCATGTATAGAAGTTTGAATAGGACTTCCCTGAAGATAGCATTGCATCTAAACAATGGAAATGACTAAAGGCTTTTTCCTGGGCCAAATGCTTCACAGTAGTACTCCCATTTTATTTGCTTAGTACTTAGTTCACAAGGCAAAAAGATAACAGATAACCTAGTTAAATGTTCTCTCTAAATCTTCGTATTATACAGAACTAAACAAAACTTAACCCAATGTATTTCTGAGCTTAGTCATACCTTTTATCAGGCCATCAAATGCAACATCGCATATGGAATACAAAAAGAAAAAAAAACCCCAAAAACAAAATATGAGTGTACATTTCTTAATAGTCAGAATACAGAAAGTCTGAAACCATGATCAACCTGGCAGAACCATCATCATTGCGCTAAGTGTAAGTGCAGTGTTTTCACAACTACAATACTATTCAACATATGTCGCAGATACAGATAAATTACAAAGAAGGAAACACAATACTTTGGAACATCTGAAAATCCTATAATGTTCTAAGATGAAGAACATCAAATTGCATGGTATGGCCTTCTGTGCCAGAAGCTTGCAGGCCTGTCCTGTTTAGGTCACTATGTAAGAATGTGACCTTAATGCAAACTTTGTCAGAAGAGGAACTTAGAAAGGTCTTGCTTCAATTTGACCCCTCAAACAAGTATTCATGTCTTCTCTGTGCTTTTTCCCCAGTGGATATATATGTAGGTATAGATAAGTTTCCATTTGTTTTGCATGTAATTTTTTAAAAGATAGTTTATAACTAAGGGTGGAAATGTGTGTCCATTATGTAGGACAGAGGAGGAAGCCAGAGAAAGAAGAATGAATGTACTCTGTTGAGTATAATCCATTGGCTTGATCTGAAGGCATCTGAACCCAAACTTGGTCATTTTCCTTAAGTTCTAGTACTGCACTTCCAGAAGCTTGGTCCATATAACCCTTCTTATATTCATCATAAGTGTAGGTAGCAGGTACATTGTTCTTATACAAAGCAACCCAGATGTTGGTGCCTTTTACGTGTACATGGTAAGCGAAGTAATAGATTCCAGGCACGGTACAAGTAAATATTCCAGTAAGAGGATTATAACCATTGTGACCATTGTACAAAGTCCTCTCAAATTTTATGGGCATGCCAGATGGAGGGAATGGTGTAGTCAGGATGGCAGTGAATGCAGGGGCTATTTTTGCAGACAGTTCTCCAGTGCCGTACTGAGGCTTTTCAGGTTTGTTGTTCCCAACAGAACCTCCTTCCACACCTCCTTCAGGCAAGTGTAGACCAGCAATGGTTCCATCACCATATATTCCTGGTGGACCAGGTGGGCCAGGTGGACCAGGCAGCCCAGGCTGCCCATTTAAACCAGGAGGACCTAAAACTCCAGGTGGGCCCATGGGGCCAATAGGGCCTGGTACACCATTTATGCTATTGCCTGGTAGTCCAGGTAGGCCAGGCTCCCCCTTCAGACCTGGTAGCCCCTGTGGGCCTAATGGGCCCAATGACCCCTGCAGTCCAGGAATGCCTGCTGGACCTCTAGGACCTGGTTGTCCTGGAATCCCTCCTTCTCCTTTAGACCCTGGACCACCTACCTGACCTGGCACACCTGGAAGTCCCTTTAATCCACCCTCTCCCTTTGGTCCAGTTGGCCCTTGATGTCCCTGGGGTCCTGGAAGACCCCTTTCACCAGGTATCCCTGGTTTACCTACAAATCCATTGGGACCCTGGTTTCCTGGTAGTCCTGATGAACCGGGAGGACCAGTAGGTCCTACGTCACCTTTCAAGCCAGGCAAACCATTTTTTCCAGGTAATCCCATTAACCCAGGTAGTCCTGGTGGCCCAATAATTCCCTGTGCCCCTTGTTCACCTACTTCACCATCTACACCTGGCTCTCCTTTCTCTCCTATTCCACCTGGCATCCCAGAAGGTCCTCGATCCCCTTTCAAACCAGGTAAACCAGGCTTTCCATATCCTGGTGACCCTGGTAAACCTGGCAAACCTCGAAAGCCTGGTTCCCCCTTAGGACCCAATGGTCCTTGTAATCCTGGTAATCCATCTAAGCCTGGTTTACCAATGACATCAATTCCAGGTTTTCCTGGTGGACCCTGAGGTCCAGGCAATCCCCCTACACCAGTTGCCCCAGGTGGACCTACATCTCCTTTGTCTCCATGAGCCCCAGGTAAGCCAACAAGGCCTGGTTTGCCATTCCCTGGTGGCCCAGATGGTCCCATGGGCCCCACTGGGCCTGTAGCTCCTCGAGTTCCAGCAATTCCTGGCTTCCCAATCCCCGGTTCTCCTTTACCACCTTTCTCTCCATGAAGTCCTGGTTCACCCTTTGACCCTGGTTCACCCCTAAAACCTGGTTGTCCGGGGGCACCTTGCACACCTGGTTTTCCATTAGTAGAGATTCCTGAAGGACCAGGAATACCTGGAGAACCAGGCAACCCTCTAGGTCCATGTTCACCCCTCGTTCCAGGTTCTCCTTTTGAGCCAGGTAATCCTTTCGGTCCACTTTTACCAGGCATTCCAGGTAAACCATGTTTCCCAATACTGGAAAAGCCAGGAGGACCAGCAGGGCCTGGTTGTCCTTGTAAGCCAGGTTTTCCAACTCCTGGTTTCCCTGGGGGTCCCAGTGGTCCTTGTGGTCCCCTTGGGCCAGGTTTTCCTTCTGGCCCAGGTTCTCCTTTAAGTCCCATTGGAAGCACTGGGGGCATATCTGTAACGATAAAATAGATTAACTAATCATAAATTATTCATAATTCAGTAAATAAAGTGTAAAGCTAAATACCAATAAGGTGCTGCGTATTTTACTGATCATCAGATCTGACTCTGTACTAGACTGGTTTGCATATATGGCTTTGCATATTATATTATACTTGGCTATTTGTTTATCTGGCACTAAACACTGGACATCTTATCACAGTTTTAATTTTTGCCAGCACACGTGGCAAACTGGTATATATAGCAGTACACATACAGGCTTGATACATAAGGAAGGTGGAATGATGGTGGTTGAATGTGGTTTTTGGTATTTTAAAGCTTTTCAGGACTTGAAATTGCTTTTTATTTTTGTTTAGATATGATTTGACACCTTTTTTTTACTGGTGACTAAAAAAACTCAAAACAACAACAAACATACTAAAGACACAATAAAGAAACTAATAAGTATGAAATTATTGTTCTACTTTATTTTTACCTTTATTTAACTGAATGAAAGGTTTTGTTGCTTGAGTGTGTTTAAAGGGCTGTGTTTATATTACAGGTAGTGAGAAATTCCAATGGAAAAATATTTTTTATAATTGGATTTTTTTTATATCAGTGAGCTGTTTTGTACACACAACCATTGAATTGACTCACAATGCTGTAATTTTGCTACGTGCAATACATAGGTTTGTTTATAAGCAAAACCCATTTATTGTGGCAAAGCTGGCAGTGAGAAAGAAGCTTTTGTTAGCTTTACAAAGACTTCTTGCAGGGTGACAAGGGAGGAAGACAATGGCAGTTTGATTATCATCTTATTGCAATCTTGCCTGGACTTTTGTAAATAATAGGCCAGTGCAGCAAGTGGTTGGGTTTTGTTTTTATCACTTGTATCCTAGCTGCCATTTTAAGACAGTGCTGGGATAGTGAGTATTTGTTTCAGTACAATTTTTAAAGAGCAGCTTCTGTGGGCTCCTGCTGGCATGTAGGCTGGAACCACTGGCTTTTTGAAACAATGAGCTCCTGGGCATCTGTTGCTTCCCACAGGCCCCTCCATTGGAGAATATATGCTACACTATAGTGTTTACATTACAGTACAGTGTTTATAGTGTTTACATTTTAAATAGTGTGAACCTGTAGCAACATCACAAGTGATGTGAAGGAAGTTCCTCTGAGTATAGAGGTCATACTCAACAATAAATGACTGCTAAAGTGATCTTTTGCTGCTTGGTTGCAGCCAGCAATAGATCGCTATATGAAATGTTCTGGTGCAACATAGCTGCATGACAGGTCTGAATCTGACCAGTAAAGAAAAAAGTAAAATACATAAAAAAAAATTTTTTAAAGTGTAAACAAAAAAGAAAATATTCCCTCTCCAGATTACTTCCCAGATTGCAACAATGAATTTCATTCACATTCACTTTGCAAGTATTAACAAATTCACGCAAGTATACGCACTGTCATAGAACATTTTAGCAATCACAAACCTGTAAACTTTGCTGCCATGCTACTTTGCGCCCTTGTCAAACTTAATCTCATCTTAATGTTATGCTAACAATTTAGGCATTTTAGGCTAACAATTTAGGCACCTGTTTTTCCCCCCTTGCAAGCATCACAATGTAGCGTCGAAAGCAGAATAAAGCTCTTCTAAAGTAAAACACATGTTCATTTTGGTCTTCAACATTCGTTACATAAATGTTACACTACTTTAATAATCATTTTAATCAGGAGACGTTGTTGATCATATTTTTGGTGAACATATGGCGGTGCACAAATTACATAAACATTAAATAGGGAACATTGCAGGAAAATGCATTTTTTCTAACATTTTTTCCCAAAATTAGGAAATAACAAAACACATATCCAAATTTGCTACCAAAGTAAAGCTCTATCTGTCCTGCAAAAAAAATACATATAATATGTTAGGGTAGACTATAAAACCTATAACATTTAATGTTCGGAACTGGGATATTGCCAAAATGGAAAACATGCTCTGAGACTCAAGGGGATTTAGGGAGACAAAGGTCTGGGGACTCAAATGCTTTAAAGGAGAAGTATTGGGATAGTAAAATATAATCTTCCCTTTTGCTCTTTGGAGCAAAATCAAGTTCATCAAATTTCTCACTCATTTTTATTTAGCACCAAGGGTGGCCCAAACTGAGTTTTAACTTTGTGGCTTTGCACAAAATCTGTAACAGCACATTAGACTGGGCGCCAAATTTTTTTTATACAGCATTTGACACATAATAAATCTATGCATATTATACATGGCACATAATATATTTCAGCATAAAGTATCTTTTAACATTTTTAGATATCTATTTTGCTTCTAATTTGCTGATGCCTTCCTACAGTGTAAACATCATGAACGTAAATTGCACAATTTTAAATTAACAGGTTAACTCCCCAATCTTCCTAACCTATAAAAACTAATTGAACAGCCCTCTCACAGATAATGTTTTCTAACTATATACTCCTCAGCTTTGAGGGTGAGTGCTGTGCGATGCCTTAGAGATAAGCCATTAAAGGACATTAATTTTTATTTTTTTTCTGACATCTTCCTGGCCTCAAACTAGTGAGGATTAACTAGCCAAAACAAGGAAGGGATGCTTTAGGTAATTCAACTTGAGGAGTTGACTGTGAAAACCCCTCAGCCAAACTCCACTGTGTTAAGAGAAGATAAATGAGCAGGATAGTGAGAAAGGAAAGTGGGCATGGAGGACTATGAAGCCCATAAGTGATACTTGTTGGGAAGCTGCCCAGGAAGTCAAAACATTTTGTGTGTAATTAGCGGTCAACTCTTCTGACCAGCAGATATTAAATTCTATAGGTCTGGTGAATCACTTTAATGATCCATGAGGTGAGCATTCTGAAAGATGCCTTCTTCCCTTTATTCTTCCTCTGCAAGATAATGAACAGATGTTTAGAACATCTAATCAAAGTGGTGGCTTCCAGATAGGCCCTGGGGAGTTTTGGTAATGTCCAGAGAATGCAACCCCATTCCCTGAGACATCTGGAAAGTTGGAAGAACCAGGTCATGGTTCACATGGAACGCTGAGGATACCCTTGCAAGAAATCATAGCATTGGAACTAGAACCACCTTATCTTGGTGGAATACCCAATAGGGTTCCTTACACTCGTATGCATGCAACTCAGAGACTCTGGAGGCTGACAATATTGCAACCAGGAAGGTCCCACATGGGAGACAGAGCTCTTATGGGTGGTCTGGTGCAGAGCACTGTCTCAGTAACTGAACCAATAAGGGGTTGGAAATCCATTGTATCTTAGTAAATTATGTTAATGCAGACATTTCAACTTGAAAGAACTCAAACTGAGACCCATGTCCAAGCCTGACTGCAAGAATGCCAACACATGCTGCGCTTAAGTTTTCACAGGATTGAATCCATCCCCACTGGCAAACTGAACAAAGCAATTCCATATTCTGCTGTAGATGTGGTTCACTCGTAGTTTTCTTGCTTTTAGCATAGTCTCAATTACTTCTTCTGTACACTCTTCCTTTGCTAGCTTCGCACTCTCAACACCCAGGCCATTAACTTCCAGCAGGCAGGGCAAGGATGAACAATGTTGCTTTGCAGTAGCAGGTCTGGTATACATCGCAGTAGAATTGGTTGCTGGATGGCAATTTGCCAGGGAAGTGGGAACCATGGGCGCCTTGGCCAAAATGGTATTGCCAGAGCCTCTACTGGCTCCTGCCACATTCTCCTGATAAGTTTGACTATTAGCAGGGTCAGGGGAAAAGTACAGACCATGTGAAAAGGCCAAAGTGAGGTGAGTGCAACCACAGCTGTGGTCTGGGCATTAGGAAACCTCAATATAAACCTTAGCAACTTGCTGTATTGAGGAGAAACAAGGAGGTATATCTTGGGGCAGCACCCTTTGATGCACTAGCCAAGCGAACACTTCTGATTTCAAGGTCCACTAATTTTTGTCTACAGTAGTTCTGGGCAGTTAGTCTGCCTGCTGATTTTCTATCAGCTGTGGAGCAAATCCTTTCAGAGCACAATATACTACTCATAGTTCCAGGGCATTGGGGACCATCCCTATAGTGTTGAAGTCGCAGCGTTACTAAACCAGGAGAGTAACCATATGAGCTCCCCAATCAGCCAGGCTAGCCGTTTATCAGGTTTGCTCTTTTGATCCACCACCATAAACTGCACTTATTTGATGTGTAATCACTATTGTTTGGTGAAATTATCCTGATGTCCATTGACAGAGAAATGCACAAATATACAAAGTTGCCACTATGCCCACTTCACCATGTGAACTGTGCGCACTAGTGTCATGATAACTTTGAGACACAGTGCTGCCAGAAGATGAGAACTTGATAAGACTAAGGCTAATCTCTCTCGAGTCATCCGGATCTTTTCCTCTGGTAAGGAAATAGAGGCATGTACTGTGTTGAAGCATGCACACAAATACACCAAGTCTTGTACAGGCTTCAGTTGACTTTTGCTGTGATTTATGATCCAGCCGAAATTCTTCAGCACCTCCAGTACTCTCCTCCTGTGAACTGATCGCTACTCTGCATTAGTATCAAGGCATTGATACTAACCCAACAACCCTCTCCCTCTGATGGACCCTTCCTGTATCAGATGTGGGAGAGTTTGGTCTGAGTGGTTCTGGCACCCTCTGATCGCTCGTCCTGTATCAGATGTGGGGAGAGTTTGGTCTGTGAGGTTCTGGCACCCTCTGATGGGCTTTTCCTGTATCAGATGTGTGTGTTGGAGGGGGGGTTGGATGGAACTTTATCAGAGGCTGTGGCACCCTCTTCTGTGGTTTATCCTGTATGAAATGTTGGGGAAGGGGGGTTGTTTTATCCATGGCTTTGCCCCCCATTATAGCTTTTTGTTTAAATAGCCAGATAGCAATTAACGTGGGTGCGTTATTTACATATGTAAATAAGTACATATTAAAGATTCTGATTTGTAAAAAAAAAAGGGGAAAAAAAGTAACAAGGCATTGTCCATGTAGTGTCCATGTAGTGGTGTATTCTTA